GTAAATCTGAATCATTGAAGAACTTTCAATGTATAACAGAATGATGAGAAGAATCAAATTAGGCATAAAGATAAATGTTTCTCCAATCTGAAAGGAAAGGAGAGTACTTTAGTATCGTATTTTATGATCATCTTAATGATTATGAAAACCATATCACAATTGATCCTCTAAGGACACCATAGTACTTGTGCATGGCTAAGAAGATGTATCGAAAATTGTTGAAATGGTTAAATTAATTAAGGAGAGTCACTTCGTTCGAAAATCAAGTCTTAGAGGCATTCTCCAAGATTGTAACTTGAGTGACATATCTTAAGTAGGTTTATAACACATTTGTAATTGGTAGTTGTGATGTCTTGGATAAGACAAATGTCAACTAAGACCAATTATATGAAGTGTTATTCTTGATAAGAATCCGGACTAACTCTTGAATATTTGTTTGTCAATGAATAGTTCTTGATAGAGAATCTTATATATCAAGAGGTCAGTGGGATTCTTAAAGATCTTGAAAAGCTTCCAGAACTAATAAAGAATAAAACCTATTGTAAATCACTAGCCTATGACTTGAGGTTTTTAACCTATCGTGTTGACATATTCTTGTTTCTGTGCCCATTCCAGTTAAAGTTGACTATGCATGTGAGTATAATGAGTTCTCAATTGTTTGCATAAGGCAAAGCACCTAGATTGGTGAAAGTTCATTGATCAGTAATGGTGATCTGCTCAACATCTTAGAAGCCATGTTAGGCCCTTGTGCCGCCAAGTGGCAAGAAATTTAGATTAAACAAGTTTAGTCCATATGAGTTTGAATTTTTCATAGACCTTGTCTTATGATAATCATAGATTCACATGGATAGGAACACATACACCATTAGTCTAAGTGACAAATGATTCTCTCTGCTTCATGAAAATGATTATGAGGAAACATTTTCACTAAGTCGATTTTAAGGAGATAGAATTTGTGATATTTGCATTCTTAAAATTCGATTACGATTATGACATCCCTTTTCATAGTTAGTATTTGTGAGAAATGGAAAATAGTTAAACATTCGGGACTTATTGTTGTAAGTTCTGAAATAGTTTAGACACACATATGAGCCTTCTTATAAAAGGTGTATGATCTTAGATAAAGACTTATCGAAACATCTCGTATCAGAAATTTGAAATTTTTTAAGAAAGTCAATAAGCATTGTTTTCTAACAATCCAACTTATTTCTGGGTACATGTCAAAGCTAGTGGAAGCATAAGTCATATGCTAGTAAAGAAATGATTGTTATGCTGGTGGGACCATAATCATTATGGTAAGTGTTGCAAGTTAGCAATACTAATTATAGAAAACAAAAGTTTCAATTCGCAACGTTTTAGAGTTTGAAAAGTTGTTTTGCTATAATTAAGGGAGAGGAACTCATACTTCGTTTCAAGTCTAAAAGCTTAGATTGAGATTTTAACCAAATTTAGTCAAGGATATATATATATATATATATATATATATATATATACACACACACACACACACACACACACAAACACACCATGTTGGAATGCTTCAACATTGGAAATTATATTTATGGAAATATTATAGCAAAAGAATAGTCAAGTATCATGTCTTTATGTAAGAGACTAAATCGTATCCTATCTGCTTCGGATATAGGATCGATTGCATATGCTATAATATTCATGTGCTCTGAATTTTCCGAATGCCAAAGGTATTAAGAGGGAAATATGACCAGAACCAAATATGACTAAAGTAGTTAAGCAACTGTCATGGACAATGTAAGTTTCGCTAAGGATTGATCGCTTGAAGCTGGAAGTATAGTGATGAATGGACCATATTGACGTTATTATGAATAGACATGATTCTATTAATAATGAATTTTCGTATGGAAAATATGGAAATGTTTCAATATTAGGAGTTGGATATTAGGAATCTATGTGGAAGTTAGAAACTTTTTTGCAAGAAGAATGTTCAAAGGAATGTACTTTGAAATTGAGACTTCGCTTCCATGGAATTGTTTTGTAACAATCTCCAAAGGAATACTTTTTAATATCGTTAGCAAAGTCTCTATGAATTTAGTACCATGACATTACAAAAGGTTATATTGCATGATAGTTTAGAATCTAACACATTCTAGCAGTGACAATAATTTGGTATTCTTTGATGGGTTATACACAAAATAACATCCTATGTGCTCATGCAAACCCTAAAGCTTGGATCTAGGTTTCTCTATTATACATGCAATTCATCTAAGACTTATAAGCCCTAGATCTACCATACACATTTCTAAATTTAACATATAAAACAAATCTAGATGATTACTTCTTCAACAATGGCTTGAATCTTCTTCTCTTGGAGCTTAGAGTCACAAATGTCACTCATCTAATGGATTGCAAACACCACACAAGCAAGAGGATGATATTGGAGAGAGGGGAGAGGCACAATTTCGACTATGAAGACTCTTAGGGTTTCAAGTGGCCGAAAATTGGATGCCTTAGGGTCTTATTTATACTGGTGCTGCTAGGGTTTCAGCCTAAACCTTAATAGACAGCTTAGGCCTTAAGCAATCCAATGAAGCTTCTGGAATAAGGCCCTTATGACCAAAAAAGCGAAGGTACTGATAAACAAGTTTAGACTGTCTCACAACTTTGATCCCAAATTTTTTTTTTTTTGTTAAATTTGTTCATAGTTTTCCTTTATGCAAAAATTTAGGGGGAGAATTAAAAAATAAATCAAAAATCAAACAAAAATCAGAAAAAATAAAAAAAAAATAAACAAAAAAAAATCAGAAAATTCAAAATAAAAAATAGTGTTATATTCTGTATTATTTCTTGTTCAAGAAAATCAAAAATCCAAAAATATTTTTATTTCTGTTTTATTTTTTTTCAGAAAATATGAAAAACCCAAAAATATTGTGTGCTAAGTTTTCATTTAGTTTTGTTTTGTCTTGAAAAGTGATTTAAGGTATAAATAAGACTCATGGAGACTGAAACGAAGATTTTCTGAGCCAAGATTTCATCAGTGATCATCGAAGAATTCTCATTCGAAGGAGCAAGAAATGAAGATTATTCTTTCAACATTCAATTATTCTACCCCAGAAGCAATGTGAAGCAGAAATTGAAGATTATGTGATGGATTGCATTGAATCCTCCTCAATCAATCTGCTACTATCGTTGTACCTGCTAAAGTGATCCATAAGATTTGTTCTCTCTGATGTTCTCTTTGAAGATTCTCAAGCTGAAAGCGCTATCTTTCAAGAATCAGTACATCAAGCCTCCTCACCCAATGTGCGTTCAAAGTCAAATTTTTGAAGAAAAGCCCAACTGCTCAAGATGAAGTCATTCATTGAAGATTCATATGTTCATCTTGATGCTGTGAAGAAATCGAAGATAAACGCTGAAGCCAATCTCCAACAGAAGATTAACAAGAATAGTCAGCTACTTTTTAGGGAGAACTTGTTGGGTCATTTAGAAAAGAAAGTTATAAACAAGGGGGAGATTGTTGGGTCAAAAATATGGTTTATAATTTACTTTTCTAGGAAAATGTATTTTTGTTTCTTGGACCGTAAACAGCTTGGTGTTTACGGCCGTAAACCCATTCACGACCCGTGTTCACCAAGCCCATGTTCCCTATAAATATATGTGTAAGGGGTGAGGAGTGGAGTGATGAGAACAAAAATACAAGAGCTTAAGTGTGTGCATTTGAAGGTGTTCTAGAGATAGAGAAAAGAGAGTGTGTGTTAGTATGTGTGAATCTTGTATCCGGATCTTCATTCATATCAATACATACAAGATTCATCATCTTCTTCTTCTCCTTCTATTCTATTTGATCTGACATCATCAGTTTGATTGGAATCCGCACGTCAAACGGATATGATTGATACTCAAGCAGATTGGGAACTTACAGTAAAAACATAGTTGGAAAGTGAATATATAAAAATGATAAATTGCAAAAAGATGATATCTAGGAAACGATTTGTTGACGATTATATACAGATGTAATCTTTATCAAGTTACCAAAAAATATGTAAGTATTGGTTTGATTTTAGGAGATTTAGATGAAAATTCTTTACATGTAGATTTATCTACCGATTTGGTAAAAGATTTTAATTTATCTATTTAATCTATGGATTTGTATGTAGATTTTTAGGAAAAGTAATAACTGATAGGTAGGATATGATTAAATCTTTTAATGATAAACTATATATCTCGTTTGAATTAACATTTACTTCCTTTCTTAAATTAAATTCTTCATTAAATGGAGATCAAAGGTTATAATTGTTAAGCTGCTGATTTTATGAGATTTGATATAATCTTTATTATGAAAATTGAACGGGTATTAAATGTAACAACGTAAATTACCTTTAAACATGTAACAATTGATGGAAAAAAAAATAGTTTTTATCAAAACTTTGATAGATGATGTCATAAAATGTTGTAAGGATGGAAAATCTATAATCAAAATACAATTAATGATACTGATTCTTTAAGATGATGTTATAAGATTTCCTTTATTTATATATATATATATATATATATATATATATATATATATATATATATATATATATATATATATATATATATATGATTCTTTTTTAATGGACTAAAAATGTACAATGGAATTTCTATAAATTGACGTATCTTATCAAAATTTCAAAAATTTAACTAAATACGAATCCAACGATATCAAATTTTCAAAGATTAAACTAGATAAGAATCCGACGAGACTAACCACCAAATCTTTAATTTAGTCTTCTTTGGTGTGATATATGGAGACGAGAGAGAATACCAAAACCCATTTATAAGCAAAAGAAAAAATACTAACCCGGCCCGATAACAACATTATCACGTGCATGTCACGTGTAAGTCAAAAGCTGGACCAACACCACCAAAACCAGAGCACGCATTAATAATCACATCATCTTCATCGGTACTGCGCCTTCATTAACTCCGCCATACATTGATCACGCCCACCCACCACCACCTCCTCCCCCTCCCTCCACAATCAAATGGATATCGGAACCCCTACGCCGCCATTACTCTCCACTGAATCCAACCCAACCACTACAGGCATCAACATTCCTGAAGTTTACAACAATGGCGGCACTGTATCACACCAACACCACCAATCATCTTCTCCTTCCTCGTCGACATCTTCAGTAATAATAGTAATGATTGTTGTCTCTTCCGCCATTATAGTCTCAGCCGCCATCTACCTCCTCATCCGCTTCCTCTCTCGCTGCTGCAACCGCTCCTTCCGTACTACCTTTTCTCCAGCTGACGACGTCGTCTCCGACAATAGAAACGAAAACGAAAGCGTGCGTCATCACGTGATTAGTGTAGGTAATAATGGGGTGGAGTCGCTCCCGCTCTTCACGTTTTCTTCACTCACCGGAAATATCGCCGGCGGAGACTGCGCCGTGTGTTTATCGAAGTTTAAAGGTATAGATCAACTCCGACTGCTTCCATTATGCTGTCATGCGTTTCACGCACAGTGTATTGATGCTTGGCTTAAGTCTAACCAGACATGTCCGCTCTGCCGGTCGACGGTGAACCCTACCGAAGACGATGTGCTTAACAAAATTGTTGCGGCATCCGGCGGTGCCGGAGGTAGAGTCGGCGGAAATAGAAGTAACAGTAGTTTTCGCATTGAGATCGGAACAATTAGCCAGCGTCGAGAGCCATCTGATTCAGCCCGTAGGTCCTACTCCGTTGGCTCGTATGACTACGTGCTCGATGACGGCTACGAGATTTCCGTCGAATCAACGCACCGGAGAGGCATTTCCGACTGTACTTCAGTCGACAAGGATTCTACAACTCCGGAACCGCCGGGACAGAATTTGGCAGCGGAGGTGGCTGCAGGCGGCGGCAGTGGAAGGCGTAATTGGATGCGAGATTACATGGACCGTGTTTCTCATTCTCTCTCTTCACGTACTCAGTCGTTCCGTGGTTCTGGAAGGTTCTTTACCGGAAGCAGTCGCCGGAGTGATATCGTCGACGACTTTGAGGCAGGTCATGGTAGAATCGGAGAAGAGATTAGCGAGCTTTTCCGATGGCTCTCAGGGGTATAACTGTAAATTAACTTACTTTTTAGCTATTTATGGAAACTCCATTCTTTGCTATTACCACTCCGAAATTCGTTTAGGGCAAGAGTGGATTTAGCAAAGAGTGGGATTTTGATTTTTTATTTTTGATTTGTAATTACGAAAATCATTCTATGATTTTCTATATTTATTTATGATGTTTAAAGTTAACAATGACAATCTTTAATAAGCTTAAATCCCTTAAAAGTATTATACCCTTAAAATCATTCTATGTGATTATTAATAAGGTGTATTGTTTTTATTGCTTGATATATAAATTATTATAATCTAAGTATCTCAAATTAGATTGACTTTATAATAGGACTTTTATTGCATAAATTATAAATTAGATAAATCATGGTTAGAAAATGGTTACTATAACTTGGTGGCACATTATTGGCGTATAGTTAGGAAAGAATCAAGAAAATCTCCTTCAAATTTCATTATTGCGTTAGTAAATTTGGTTACCTAAAATTTTCGCATTTATCATTTAGTCAAGTCTATAACTTATTCATCTTCAAAATTTCAAAATAACTTTTTTTTTTTTTAATTCTATTTAAATATATATATATATTTTTTTAATTGTTATTATAGATTATTATTATATTAATATATTTTCTAATAATACTAATTGTTTACAAAAGAAATGAACAAAGTATATATTAAACTCACGTTCATAGTTTTGAAATTAGTGTTTATTAAAACTAAAGACATGCATTAAATTAAAAATTCCACATGACAACCAAACATTCCATGATTCCAAGTGTTGTTCTCGTATGCCGATGGATCTTTTGTCATGTTGGGTGTCTCCGATGTGCTCAAGTCGTGGGAAATTTTCAATTATCCATAATTCCATCTTCTTCTTTATCTAGTTATTTAATATTTATTTATTCTTCTTCCACCAAAGAAGACATGATCCAATAATCTTTAAAGTTGATCATTTTCATATTTAACGATAACAATCTGGTCCAATAACATTTTAGACTTTTAGTTGATTGAAGTTAATTATGGCTTGTTACTGAAAGATTGTAAAATATATACACGTTTTTTGGACTGGGAAATATAGATGCTAATTTCATCTGATCGATTCATTTTACCACCTTTAAAAAAATACTGTGTTAGATAAAATATATGTATTTTTGATGCACAAATTTATAAATGAAAAACTACGATTTTTTTTCTAAATATTTTCTCTTTTACGGAACAAAATTAAAAATCTAGCTACAATAAAACAAATGAAATTAGATGTGACTTGTGAATGCAAGATTGTCGAATACAATCGTAGAGTTGAGAAGCACTTGAGGCCCGATGAAACTGTATGAATTCAATGTGATAGTTGTCTTTTTTTTTTTTCTTTTTTATTATTATTATTATTATTTACATAAAATGGATTGTCCAGTTGAGGACTTGATGTACGATTCTACATTAAGGTGTGACTTGTGAATGCGTATGTAAGATTGTCGAATACAATCGTAGAGTTGAGATGCAATTTATGGGGTCAAAACTTCAAAGTGTTGATCGATGATTTATAAATGGAATTGGGGTCTAGAAAACTCGAACGAGGATGACTCAAGTCCTCACCTTCTTGGTAGTTGGTCCTTTGCTTAGGTGTTTGGTCTTTGGGATTCGGATTTTGAATTAAAAAGAAATGATAAGGGAAATTAAGTACTATAATTCTAATATGAGATGTCCATTTAGCCAACTCCATTTTAATATTTATACAGGATATGCTATAAATGGAGTGAATCATTAATGTCGATACCAATCATTTTAATAAAAAAGATTAACGGGTACGGATCGTTAACATGTAAATGAATCACAAATTAAGATCTAACTCTTATAATTTTTACAGGTTTTGATCGAATCAGGATTAAAATCCGTTAGGTTGCCATGTCTAATTATAACAACTAATAAGAACAAGGACAAGCTTATTAGGTTTTAAGTATTTGCAGAAAATCAACTTAAATATCTTTTATTGATCAAAATAATCAAATTCGAAGAAGAAATTAATAGTTTGCTATAGTGAAACTATTGTTTATGATAGCTGCAAAACTATTTAACCAATGATAAACTTGTTACTATTTTTCTTTTGTGTGATTACGCGATGATCTATTTTTAATTGTTGGATCCGCAAAAACATAATCTGATGGTAATCCTAAAAGCAATAGCAAAACATAAACAATAGCAAATGTGTTACCTAACAACAACATAATTTTACATTTTTTCATCGTCCCATCCTCACTAGAACAAACACCCCGAATTTGTAGGTTCTCAAAATATTGTGGTAATCAATATATAGCCCACAATGTTAATGAAATTGCAGTCTAGTACTACAGATGTATGAATTGTACGATTTTCTCTTATGCTAGAGATAGATGTTGCTCATAACAATAAAATAGCATTCAATGAGATTGAACCACCCCGCACCTATATAATGATAATTGACCTGACAATTATTTTATAAAAGAAAGATCGTAAAAAAATGAAAAAATAATAACCACAGGTCATCTAAATGTTAAATCTTGAAAAGAATCAACCTGAGGTCTTTTTTTTTTTTTTTTTTTTGAAAAACTAAAGATTCATATATTTAGAATGTTCTAGCAAGAAACTAAAAACTTAATCAATGGAGACCGTAACCAAACATTCCGATTAACATTTTTTTGGAACGTCGGAAAATTTTATTAAAAAACTAGCAAGATGTCATAAAAAAATATGACAATAAAAAAATGGCAGAAGCTGGATTATGAAGCCAAGAGCTCCAATTAATTTTGGCTTTACTACACCTATAAAAAACCCAAAAGAAGGATCTATAAACAATATCATCGAAAAGCATGGATTTCTTAGGTATAACCATTCCAAAAACTATTGAATTACGAAAATTGTACATGCACCAGAAAGATTTCATAACCAATAAAGGCCTTTCATTGACCCTTTCTCAAAGCAACATAATCTTACCACTTAATAAGGGTGTGAACGTTAATCTGAGTCGAAGTATGAATTCCCCACCAAATAGCAATGTGCGGCCAAATCTCCATCAACTCAGTACAATTTGCAAAGAGGTGATCAATAGATTCCACCGAACGGGAACATATAGGGCATAAAATCGAGTCCACCACGATTCCCCTATGAGATAGTCTCTCTCTAGTAGGAATACTGAGTAACTGAATCATCCATAAAAGAATATTGATATTGATGAGAACCTAATTATTCCATCTACTCTCACCACCACCAAAGTGAAGCATACTCCCATCTAAGAACCAACGAGCAGAGGAAACAGAAAAAGTATCTGAAACATCTATAGCACAATCCAATCTATCAGGAATCGAATACAATTGAAAATCTTGCAAAAGAGAAATAAAAGCATCCCACTACTCCTGCTCAATACCACCTCTAGGACTACATCTGAAAGTAACAGGATCCCACCCCAAGGTCAGACGATCTCTAACTACAGCTTGTCTAACAGTATCCAAAGCAAAAATTCTATGAAAAGTTTCGGCAAGAGGGGCATCCCTAATCCACAAATCCTGCCAAAAATACGTATGGTTCTCATCACCAACCCTGAGAGGAAAGGCGGACTGAATATCGATACCCTTTTCCCGCAATTGAGTAAACGTACGAATCACTCCACATCAAGGTCCCGATTCGGATCTCCTAGGGGGCATAGACTTGTAACCTCCATCTGAGTCGTACAAAAGATTTGATAATTTGAACCCATAAAAGATCATGACAATGATAGAATCTCCACCACCAGCGTAGCATCATGGCCCTATTAAAGGAATATAAACTCCCAATACCCAAACCACCCTCTACTTTGCCGCTAAAAGTCTGTCCCATCTGACCCAGTGTATACGTCTCTCATCTAAATCTGCTCCCCAAAAGAATCTAGCTTGCATCAACTCTAGAGACTTAAGAACCGAAACAGGAGCAAGAAAAATCGACACTAGGTAACTACTCAACGAACCTAGAACCGACTTAACCAAAATAACTTGACCACCAAAATAAATGCATTTAGCCTTCCATCCTGACAATCAACTCTGAAACCGATCAAACACAGGAGATCAAACAGAGATACGACACATATTCTGACCAATTATAACAACGAGGTGGATAAAAGGAAGATCAGAAACTGCACACCTAATCATGTCTTCAACACTAGAGACCTGAGATAAAGGAACCCCCACACCAATCAATTTGCTTTTATGCAAATTGATTTTAAGACCCGAAGCCATAAAGAAACAACAAAGAATCCGAATCAGACGATTCACATTCTTAGGATCCCAAGAAGAAATTAACATAACATTATCAACATATAAAAGATGAGAAATCTTGATGCCTAAAATAGAGATCCCTCCAAACACATTAGCCATATGAGCTCTAACCAAAGGCACATGAAGACCCTCCATCACCAATATGAAAAGGAAAGGAGAAAGAGGATATTCCTGTATCAAACCACGATGAATATGTAATTCATCGGTAGGTGATCTATTGACCAAAACCGAAGCCCTAGATATTTTTGATAACTCCATAATCCATCCACGCCATAACAGACCAAACCTCATAATTTTCATGATCTCTAAAAGGTAGTCCCATGAGAGGGAATTACAAGCCTTCTCAAAATCTACCTTAAGAAGCATCAGGGAATTACCAGAAGATTTACTCCAAGCCACTACCTCATTAAGGAGAAAGGGACCATACAAAATTTGTCTACCTTTGACAAAACCAGACTGCTCCAAACTAACAACATTAGCAATTACCATCACCAATCTATTAGCTAAAAGTTTACCAATAATTTTATATTGGCACCCAATTAGACTAATAGGTCTAAAGTCTCTTGGAGTCTTCGGGTCTTGTACTTTGGGGATAATAGTAAAAAAAGAAGCATTACATCCATTCAGAATAGAATAATGATGAAAAAATGCATGACAAATGCCTCAACGTCCTCCACTATAAGATCCCAGTAACGCTTGAAAAATCCAAAAGTAAATCCA